GTTTTAATGCTGCAGTTCCTTGACAGTCTTGGGAAATGCCATCAGAGACCTAATAAAAAGAGAGATCTCTGGTGAGGCAGCTCTGATAGAATGGATGTTTCCTACTATTGACTTCAAAGAAAAGAAAGTGAGGCTAATATTATTGCTGTTTTTTTAAAGCACTCCTTTGGCATCAGTGCATGACACTCTCCACTCCAAAAACTGAAAATACTTTCCAAACTTCCACAACATTCCCTCAAGCCAGGCATGGAAACTTACTGTTTAGGTGAAGTAACTCAAAAGCGTATAAGCTGGTGCATGCAGACCTATCTTCCCTGCAGATGCAAGATTGTCCCTTAGACTCATCTGTAGATGTAGCCTGTAGAGATCTCATCACTCACCATGCATTGCTAGACACATGCTCCCCAGTGACCACAGACAGCATAATACTTGCTATCTACTGAGAACAGAGATTCCACATTGGTTTCCTTAGCAGCAGAGGCAATAATACTAATCTGCTCAATAGGCCCCCTTCTCCTGTAATTGTTAATAACCAGGTTGCTGCCCATGAAGTGTCACAAATGTAGCCGAGCCTTCTGATGAAAGTGTTCACAGGTTTATGACATATCAAATCACTGCGTCAGAGATGTACAGTAAACATAAAAGGAAGTTCGGATGGACTGCTATCTTTTGCGTAATCTATACAAAAATCTGTTTCATAGGTAAATTGCAAATGGCTAGTTTGTGTAATGTAGTGATTTGAACACAAGATCTGCGCTGGAATGCTGGAATTGCCTAAAGACGCCTTTATGCAAGTTACTTATCTTCTCTGTCTCAGTTTCCCCATGTTTAATGCAGTACCTATAGTGTCTCACCCTTAGGGATTCAAAAGAACTGACTACAAAACAACACAGGTACTGAATTTCTCTGTGTACAATACAGCATGCAAATCCTTGCATCAAGACTATTCTCAAACTGACTATGTTGCATATATACAAGAAAAAAAGCTTCTGCTTCAAAGTCTTAACTAGCTAGGCAAGAACACGATGTGACAGACAGGCCTAGAACATATTCAGGAGGCATTTGTTTCTCTGAAACACATGAGCTAGAGACATTAAGAATGGCTATTCACTGTCCAGCTCCTTTCATGGGTATCACATACGTTATGATACCCAATTTCTATAATCACTAATTGCATATGTAGAAATTACGTACAGATAAATATATTTACATATATTGATCATGTCTGTGGAGGCCTGCAACACAGGTTGCTCCCTGAGCACATATGCATGCAGCGATGGGAACTAAGTTTTCTACTCTTTATGAAGCCACGAGAGTGCAAGAGGGTAAACTAATAAGCAAAGTATGTATTTGTCCAAATCAAACAATTCTAGACAACTAAATGAGCAGCTCTATATTTACATTTGCAAGCAGAGGCTTAAACTGAGGATTCAATATCTGGAGATCAGCAGGGTTCTACCCACCAAAGTACTGGAAGAACTGAAAGACAGCAAAAGATGCAGCTATGAGAAATTTTTTTTTTTTTTTAAATAAAAACCATTTAAGCTTGCTAATTTTTGCTGTCTCAGACAATCAAAATTCCAATTGTCTGGGACATCAAATCTAAAAAAGCATGAAATTAATCTTCAGAAGTTAAAGTCTTAAAGGCATTGCATCATTATTTTTGTTGGATATATTTTTGATTATAATGCAGATGAACCCCAAATTTAATAAAACTAAAATAACATGAGTTAAGTATGAAACATAACAGGATATTGCAAAGAGATTAGGTAGTTTCCTTTAGACTACTTGCAGAGCCCAAGGAAAAACCAAACTGAGAGACACAATGACGAGAAGGCACTGCTTAATTAGAATATTTAGTAGAATATGAAAACAGAGTACCCATGGTACCAGTTTTGGCAATGAAACACAGCGAGCAGAATATGGACCCAAAACATCAGTAGTTCTCTATACCAGATACTGTTTTGCCTGTCGACTGTCTGTAGTAAAGAAAGAAGCAGGCTAGCTAAATTTAAACCAGCTGTAATGATGAGAGTGTTACAGTTGGACTGAAGGAAGCTTACCTCATGAAAGTATTGTGGAAACTGCTGTTGGAAAGATAATAAAAGGATTAACTGCAGTTTTAGTGAACCATTTACTTTTCAATCAAAATGTCTCATGCATTTCCTGTTCTCAAGTAGCTTGAATTCCAAAATTCCTTTGTCTATTACAGTACATAGTAGCAAAGCCTGTCATAAGAAATTAATAATTTTACATGGAAAAGTACTTTTATGTATGAGGGCAGGGTGCTGCTTGCTGTTAGCTTCTCCTGAGCAGTTCAATACCTACTCAGCCAGTATTCTTACAGAGAGGAACAAAATCAAGGGCTTAAAAAGAAAGTACAATGGGTAATTGTGAACAGTGAAAGAAAATCTCCACTACAAATACCAAGAGATGTAAAGTTACTTTAACAGGGCTACAGCAAAAACGAAACAAAATCTCAGACCTCTATAGACAGAGAATGAATTGCCTTCTTAATTTGCAAGAATAACAGCACAATTGTTACCACATCAAAAGAAAAGCCATCATTTAAAATGACATGACATCACTGCACAATGAAACACTGCACAGCAACCCTTGTTTAAAGTGGAATGGAATTCACTGGGCAAATAATCCCCACTTGATATTAATAACTTTAAGGAGCCATGTTGCAGCTTTGGATCTTGTCCCTGCTAGATCAAGGTCTTTCCAAGGTAGAAAACTCAATTTACAATGATGACGTATTTTTTGTGTGCTCACTTGGATCCAGCTTTACTCCACACAGGGTTCCAGGTTGTAACATTTAATCCATCAATACCTCTGCTGACAGTGGAAGCTCTTATTCTGGGAATAGAAGAGTTAACTGCAAGTTGTGCAATGTAAAGCTCCTAATTCTGATTGGGCCATTCCATGTATGGGAACAACTACAATATCTGCTCAAAGAAAACAGATCTTTATGTACTTACATGCCAAGGCTATATACATATGCCATGAAGGCTGTCTGCAATATCAGATGCAAAGGTTTTTCCATCTCATTCACAATGTTAAGCCTTGAGATGTTATCAAAAGCCGATTCTTTAATGCAGATGAACATAATTGAAAGTAGGAATTTTTTAACATTTGCTAAGATATTACATGATTTAACATCTCTGCTTTATCCAGTTTCCTGTAGGAATGGGAATGTAACATTAGAAAGCTACTACACAATACTTGTCAAATATGCACTTTGCAGAAAAAGACCGAAGTTCCCTCACCCATGGAGTCTACTGAACCTTTCAGCATCACAATAAAGCTAATCAGGGTTTCACATTTTAAGTATTTCTTTTAAAAAGTGTGAGATAGAAGTGGGAAGACTGATCTCATTTCAGATGATAAAAAACACTAAAAACAAAAAGTAGGCTAAAAGAAAATCTCTAAATGTGCTTTCACAGCTTACTTAAACTTTTTTTTGGAAAGAAGCAACTAACTAGCATTACCCTTTGGTGATTTATGACCACATAAAAGATATGCATAGGAAGTTAAATGCCTTTGTACTTTTACAAATTGTGATCAAGTTACTTCTGGAAATGAGCAAGTCAGTTCTTTCTCTCAAAGGAAAAAGAAACAGGTAAGTCTTAGAGGGTTTCCATTTTATCTTGGACAAATTGATAGTGTTCTCTAAATACTTGCATTGTTTCCAGTATTATTTTAGGGAATATCCACTGAACAGAGCAGACATTACGAGAACATTTTTCATTTATCCAATGGAAGTAAAAAGAAAATTTTTCTCTGTAAAACATTTTGAATGCTGTTGTTTTCTTCCTTCTCCCTTCCATAACCACTGCAGGCCAGCAAGCTTTTTCTTGAAAAAAAATGAAAAAAAAGTAAGCTTTTTATATCAACATTCTTTCCTATACCTTCACAGAAAGCTACAGCCTGCCATGGAAAGTTTGTCTTGATCTAACTTTCTTACAAGCATTTTCCAGTATTTCTCTGGAAATTATTTCAAAAGTATATTGAAATTATTTCAAAACAATAAAATAGACATATAGTTGAAAATGCTGCCTATCAAGAACCACAACCTGCTGCCATAATCGTTCCCTTTGTTTGTACTTATCTGTGTGTGTGTCTGTGTGTATGTGCATGCATGCACAGGCGTGCGCATGTGGGTGTTACAAATAAGACTTTCTGAATTTCATGGCCCAATTTGGAAGCTTATGTCAAACTCATTTTGCTTCATCTGTTTCAGTCAGGGTCTTATATCATTGTTCTTTCAAACATGTGGAAAGCTTAATGGAAGTCATTAACTTTTATTTTAGTTTGGCCATATTGTCATCATGGTGGGCAGATGCAGAGATGGTGTTATTCCCAAGATCCTCTTTTTGGAACACTTATGTTGTTTACATCTTCTTGATCAGAAGAGAACAATGGTTTTTACTTATTTTTAAAGCTCTGTTTTGCAAATTAAAAAAGCCCCTAACAACCTTTGAAAATGTAATTAAAGATATTCCTTTTATTCTTTTAACTGTTTAAAATCCTTAACAAGTTTCTTTTTGTTTTCTAAACTGCCATTTGAAACTTTTGCACTCACAAGTCTACGGGTTATTGTTCAGCTGAAGGAATGAAAAGAATTTCATTAGATGTTTTTTATGTTTCTTGATTAAGAATGTCACCTGAGGCTCAGTGACTTGTTTTACATTAAATGACTGCTGCGTGCTTTGATCGTCACTTCATTAATGCTTTAATGAATATTTAAAAAAAAGAAAGCACTGTATTAAAAGTTAAGCTTTCATATAAGGAAACTGAACCCCTTTTCCAAGAACTACAGTATTTCTTACTCAAACATTTCCTTCTAGATTAAGGTTTTCTCCAATTCCCCTTTAGCCTGCTGCAGACAAAGTTACAGGAAAGCACAACAATTATATTGGAATAAGACTGAAGAGAGAGCAAGAAAGAAAGCAGAGTAGTATGTTTCTATTCAAACAAATATATTCCAGACTTACCATGCACTTGTTTGGTTTTTCTCCAGAATGAACCCTCATATGAATCAGCAGTTTGTAACGAGCATTGAAGGGTTTATATCGGCGGACACAGCCTGCCCAAAAACAAGTGAAGTCCTCTCCTTTCCGCTGGTCAATGTGAGTCTTTTCTATGTGTCTGACCAGTTCGTCTTGTTGCTCGTAAGTGGCACTGCAGTCAATCCACCGACAGACTTGTTTGCCATTGCTGAGGTCCTGTTCATCCCCGTCGCTGGGCTGAAGGGACTTTGGAGACATCGAGGCGTGTAAGTGAGGCAGTGTCCCTTGAGTTTGGCTTAGTTGCTGGTGTAGATGGTAAGGGGGAGGCAGCCCCTGATGATGTCGAAAAAGATCAGCAGTGGAGCAATAATCATCAGCTGGTTCTTGTTTTAAGAAACTCACCTTCTGGGTGCTGTGTGAGGTGTTTTGATGAGGAATGCTACCATTCATCATAAGGCTGAGGCTTCCATTCTCCTCGACTTGCTGCATTTGTATCTGCTCACAGTCACCTCTGTCACATTCAGTGGAAACAGGTACAAGACATGCTGGAGGGGAGGGAATACTGCAAGGGTTTCCAGGCTGAGAGCAAGACTGGGGCCGAGAGGATTTTTGAGTACTGTGATGACTGATCTCCACAGGATGAGAGGAAATGCCAGCTGAATTAGTTCGCAGTCCATTCACACAGGTGACCAGTGACGTCTGTGATGTGCGGATGATAGCTGTAATATCAATTCCTTCAGCTGAAGACGGCACAACAGAGATGCATCTCTTCTTCAGGTTGCTTGTTTGTAGCCTGGCCGAGTGCTGAGGGGTGCCAAGTGACAAAGGACCCAGGGAGGAGCTATGTTCATTATTAAACAAGTAGGATGAAAGTGAATTTGTAAAGCTATTATTCATTAGGTCTATTTCAGGATGCAGACTACCGGAGGCTCTCAGCTCCATCCCCTCTGTAATCCTCCTATGTGTGGAAGCCTCAGACAGAACCTTATAATCACTCGGGCATTCTTGTTTAATGTGCTGAGCTGGGTGACTTCCATTCAGGCATGGAGCAGCAGAATCTACTGACTCTTGAAACCTGGGTGACCTGTAATATAGTTTTCATTAAGCATCACTAACTACTACAGGATTTATGATTTTTGTACAAGACACAACACTTTTTAAGCCCTGGAGAATGGAAGCACTTGGTGTCTGATGAATGTTGCCTAACACAGCAATTACATAAAAAAATCTGCAGTGCTTCCTCTACAACCCTTGTAAAGGCAGCATTGTTTTACACAGGATTAATTTTACACACTGGGTTACGCACAGAACAGACAATCTCCCCTCCACTGCTACAGGCAGTTCATCAATCACAATCTAGGTTTTCAATGCATAAAGATTGGACAAAACAATAGCTGAAAATGAAGTTTGAGAGCTTTGGGCATTTTTTAATTATTCAAATATCGGCATTTTCTTCAGAGCATACTGAGAAAATGCCTTGGCATTCTTGTCCACATGAATCAAAAAAGGCTAGCTGAGCTTTGCTTACATGTCGGAGAGATGCCTTCCTTCACTAAATTAAAAAAGGAGCAAGATCAGTGCGGAAAAGAGGAATAGAAAGAAAGAACAGTTCGCTTTCAACCAGTGGTCCAGAGTCGATGAGAGATCAGCTGAGTATTTACTTCTAAGAGGCCTACAAAAGATAACTAAGAAAAGTTCACAATCAGTAGATTTAATCTGGCCGTCTATGTATTCCTATTTCCATTTTTCCTATAAAGTCTACATGGCTCTCCAAATCAAAAGAAGATTGCTATGCAGAAGTCATTTTTAATCTTTTTTGATGTGTGCTGAATCCAGCCACTCAGGAAACAGAACCTTGAAGAACCCTACATAGACATTTCAGAAAAACACTGCATTTAGGGCACGCTTCCTCCTAACATTTTCTTCCAAGTAGTTAGCAATTGGTTTATGCCTTAAAATAAATCACATTATATCAGCTATAAACATTTACTGTGGATGACTCAACTGTATTTTTTCTTAGGACCAGTGGGTGTTCCTTACACATCCCTAAAGCATGGTAGGGTTTAACCTATGGCTTCATCATGCAGTGATGTGCCAGACCGAGAGGAGGAAACAGTACATCTGTGTGCAGGAAAGCTGTACCTGAACTAATAAACCCTCCAGAGAGGTGCTCCATGGTTCTTATGCTGACATGTTCCACTTAAATGAATTTTATGCTTATTTGATGCTAGCACCACAAAACCTGAAGAAAACCTGGCCATTTGGCAACTTGTGTGTGACACCACTGACACATTTTAAAGCACGAAACACATATGCATAAGGTATTTTGGACATATACATATGAATGTATACATACAGAGAAGCTGCTGAATAAACTGCATTTATTTTACAACTTAAATGATTTTATCACTATTATTTCCATTAATCCACCACTAACATTAAGACGGGAAGCTGGGACAACTGCTAACATTTCCTTGGTAACTGCTCTCAAAGAAGTACCAATTAGAAAAAACAAAACAATAAAAAGCTTCAAAAATACTTCCTTCACATGAAATTAAGGTTGTCAAAAAGTTACTTCTGTCTAAGGCACACAACTATCAACACTGCATTCACTAGTGACAGGTTTCTAAGCTCCAACAGTTTTCAGCCAGCAGGGCTTGACATAAAAAAACCTTTAAGGTCATAAGAGAAGTGAAATTCCCCACCATTCATTGCTACAGAACAATCAGATCTTGCATTTGCCACCAGAAGTTTAAAAAGACTACATTTAAAAATTTTAGAGGTTTCCATAATCCATTAGTTATAATTTCTCCCTTTAGGTTTGCACAGTTGGTCTCAGGGTAAACTTAAAGCACCTGGTTTTGCAGATGGTAAATTTAAATTAAAAAGAAACAAACCCAACAGTATTCATACATTATTTTTTAACATTTACAGAACCATATGTCTGTAAAATATGTGGCATAAGCATATGTAAAAACCTTTTATTGCACATGTTTGGGAAACCGTGTCCTGCTTTCTTGTAGCTTCATTGCTTAGTAGAAAGTGTGCTGTTTTTAACTTATTCTGACAAAGGTTTTACAGCATACCATGCCAGGCACAGTATTTCCTATTAGTTTCTTCTGTATGAGAACTATTCTAAATAATGCAGTTTGTATTGTACTCTAGTGGTCCCAAAGCCTCAGGCTAAAGTAAAATACAACACATTTCTTACATCATATAAAGCTAACCCAAGCCTTACATTTCAGCCTGTGATAATTGGTGTCATATTATTAAGCTTTATGTAAAGCTCCCATCTTGCCATAAATCCATGTGAGGAGTTCAAGCTGGAGTCAGTGCAGAGTACCTGCAGGATGGATACAAACATCGCTGTCCTGAGAAACATTAGGCTCCCGAAACTCCCAGCAACATCGATCTGCATTTCCAGAGTCAGGACTGTATTGCTGTGATGCAGCAGTGTGGAATATGACACACACAAAAGAGGGGAGTTTTGAACTAAAAGGCAAGCTGGAATGCGTTAATTCAAAGGCAAATGAGATGAAGGCACTGAATTCATGTTTCCCATTGCCACAGCCATGTCTTATCCATGCTCTGCCTACATAACGATAAGCAAAGGCTGCTTGTGCAGATCAGAAGCAAGTCTTTTCTGGGAGCTACAGTTTCCTCTGTAGCACTGTGTATTTAAATATATTATATATGCTGTTGTTAGTTAACTCTGCTGGGAGAATCTGGCATTCTTTCAATCTCCGAGTGTTTGCGTGTTGGGGTACTTAATGTCAAGGGCACATTAATGCAAACTTGCTGTATTCCTGGTAGAATTTTGCCATCACTGTTCTAGGGAAAGCACCGTTCATTCCTCTCAGTCCTGGGGAATTGGGGGAGAAGGGGCACAGAAACAAAATTGATGCAAGAGAGAGAGACAAGGTGTCTGGCATCTAACTTGCTGGGTGGCTCCTCTTATACCCATTGACTATTTGCTCCTGTAATGGCAGCTTGCTTTTATAGCCAGGGATCAGATTCCAGGCCTGGTACATGCAGGCAGTGCTGGCTGTAGGGACTTCATAATCTCTGGGCAGTAGTAAAATATAAACAGCCAAGAGGAGAGCAAGAGGGAGAAAGGATAGCAGGACAGTGCAAGAGCACTCTGTGGACACGTGGATCAACATGAGCAGCTGTGGGGGGCTTCCAGATGAGCAACCCTGGAAGGGAGTGGGGTCAGCAGGAGAATATACCCCACAAACCTCTCTTTGCAGGGAGCATCCATGTACCGGGGATGGACAGTCCAAGGCAACAGCATTGCTGCTTAAGAACATGAAAGCGGAGTGTAAGGCCTTTGAAGAGTAACAGCAGCCTCTCAGAGGATACTAAGGCAGTGTTTCCAAAGAGACTCCCTTACGTGGTAATTGGAGCCAGAGCACGAGGCCAGTAGCATCATGCCAGAAGTACTGCAGTTCCCAACTGCCCTCAGAGGAAAAGACAACTGTATCTGAAATCTCCAGATTATTTACAAAACATACATGCCTTCAACTGCCACTGTAAATGTGCATCAGTGATAACTGACAGTTTTAAGAAGCTGGAGGGGATTGTTCTGCTGCACATCCAGGGACCCTTTGCAACACTATCTGACTGCTCTGATGTCTTCCTCGGGTTTTATATGCTGAGTACTGAGCACAGTGTGGGCGGGTTTGCTGTGTCTGATAATGGATTATTTGACAAAGGGCCAACATTAGCTGTGCGCTGACTCCAATTGTGGTGAAGAAGGTATTAGGACTTTTCCAGTCCCACACACGTTGCGTTCACAGATAGCATGTAGCAGCAATTACGTTGCACAACTTAAAAGCTATTAACTAAGTGGGGAAGAAGGGCCAGGAAGAAGAGGGACCACGATTCTTGGATTAAGGCAGTCAACCCTAGAATACAGTTTCCGAGAGAAAGTGATTCAGGGAGAAGCTGAAGGGGATAACAAGTTTCAGTGCACTGAGGGAAAACAAGAAAAAGCCAATCATAACCCCAAATCCTGAGGGAGATTTTGGATTGCTAGGGGAGGTGCTCTCTGGTTTGTTTGAGTTTTCCTTGAGCATTGCATATCCTAGAAATGCACAGTGGTTCAAAGCTCAACCCAGAGAGATCATTTGAATTTGTATCTCCCTTTATTTCTGTGTTGGTCACTAGACACTAGTCACAACAAATAGAGCTTGCCCTGACTTCTGTGTGTTCCAGTATCTATCCATTGCAGCCCTATTTCTCTCATCTATTTTCTAATGAAGGCTGAAATCTGGGGAGGCACAGAGCACCACTGGCTCCCATTGACTTCACGGGAACCTGATGAGCATTCACCCCCACCTCAGTTATATTCTCCTGTTTTCAGATCTTCAGGGAAAGACCATGTTTCCTGTTACTTGCTTGTCAAGAACCTTTAGCATCACAAACAGAATGAACAGAAATCATCCCAGCTGCTGTCCACCTTCTCCCACATGCCATGATTTTGGCTCTGTACCATGTGCCTCGTGAGGAGCATGGTGATGAAATGAGACACTGTGTCTATAAGCTCCATAGAGCAGACCTGGGCATTGGCTTTACCTTGCAAATCCCATGCAGACAGAAGTAGTATTAGCCAGGTAAACATACAATCAGAGCATGACCAGTGCGACACACAAACAACCCATAAAAGAATGGAAGGGTCCTTCAAGATACTCTCCAAACATTTCCTAACTGTTGCTTAGAAGCAGCAGAGCCTCAAGGCTTTAAGACCACGCTACAAAGCAAAGGGGAGGTAATCAGGCCTATCACCTGCTACTTTCTCATGTTATGCAGCAGACAGTCCTTTATATTGTTCTGGGAATCCTCTTCCAAATAGGGGCTGGAAGTGGTTCATATTTCTGAGGGTGGGTACTGTGATCCCCAGTATGCAGGTATCTGTCATTTCCTCATTATAGATTTTACAAAAAAGTTCAAAAAGATCTAAGCAGAGTACTCTCTTCCTCCTTTTGTTTGCTCCTGCCCTAATTATCTTTGTTTCACAATTGTCCTCACTGACAGAATAAAAAAAGGTTGATAACTGCCAGACCCACATTGAGCCATAAAGAAGCTAGGAGGGAGCAGACTTACATCCAGCTGCAACAGCAGCTACAAATCTTTGTAGCGATAGCAGAATATTTTATTATGTGGCATGGATATTATTTGTCCTTTTCAAACAAACAAACAAAAAGCTCTTTCCACTTGATTGCCATATTGCTGTGCCTCCTCCTCCTGAAAACACAGATGTTCTTACCCCACCAGTAAATGGAAAAGGGGAAACAAGACATAAATATGTATAATAAAATCAGAAACAGTCGGATTTCCAAGACCAAGCTATAGGCCATATTTCCTCTTGCTGTGACTGTGGAAATTTGGGCTAGATAGTTTCATGTACAGAGTGCCAATTATTCCAAGTATCTAAGATAAAGGCTGCAACTTTATTGAGGTTTTTCTTTTCTACAGCTCTTCAAACAGGTCAAGATTATTCCATATTATATCCCCTGCCAAAAAGCAGTGTAATTAAAATAGATGGACAGATTTTAATTTGTAGCAGGCTTCTATTCACAATGGATGTCTGTTTAGGGTACTTGTTTAAAATCTGGTAATGTTAAATTTGTAACAACAACAAAAAAATAATGGAGTTCTGTGTTTTCATATAATTAATTTATAGCAAATGTTTAAATAGAGATTCTGCTCATAGCATATCCAACTACAGTATATATATCAAAACCAGAGACTAAATTTTCACATTACAGCCTTAAAAGCAAATACCAAGGATGTGGCCGTATGGGAACATTGAAAATACTTCATTAAAGGAAATGCTGTAGAAATAAAAGTGGTACTGGCTTCCTGTAGGTTTGGTGTTGGCATGCCAAATTGCCATATGGGAGACACTGGGAGAGACAGGGAGTAAGTATCATCCCTGCCTTCCAGGCTGCAATTTGGGAACAACATGGAATTGGGGTGGAGGTACAGAGGAGGCAAGTTTGACCCTACTTAAGCCCCTGGCAAAACTCTCATTGAGTTTTGAGCATGCTGGAAGAGCCCCACCAGAAAAGCTCCTTCAGTGAAGGGGGGCTGCAGCTGTATATACAGTGACTCTCACTGGCACTGCCTTCGACAGTTGTCTGTGCACACGTGCATATTCCTGCAGTGCAAACCTGCAAATGAGCAGTGCAGTTAAATGAACATGCAAAGGACTTCTAAAATTAAGTAAAAGCCAAAAATAGTCTTCCAAATATAGCACCCACGGATGCCACTGGGAAATAGTTCCAGCAAAGAAGCAGTCCAGAAGAGCAAAGTATATCAACCGAAAAAACTTGCAGTGATACCTTATATCCGAGTGTGTCAAGTTCAGCTGACCAACATGAAGCAGTCTCTCACAGGACAGTGGGTGGTCTCGCATAAGTGGGTTTCCTGTGTGGATGAACAGACCTTGCCTGCAGACAGGTACTGAGCTACTTGTCATCTCCATGTCCATCATGTTCTTCTTCTCAGAGATCAAATTACAATGATTGTAGCCACCATTCACTGTCAAAAAATGAAAAAAATCATAAGCCTTTGACTAATAAACCTCTATGCTCATTACTTTGTATGCTCATTTGCTCATTCTGTATGCTTATTTTGGATCTCCTTGTAAAATTCTTGTAAATGACATGGCAGTGAAGATGAAAGGTTTCCAAAGGAATTTGGATCTGTGAATTATGGTCGTTGATTTTTCTTTTTAAGTTTTGTGGCTGTTTTACACTTCGTAATCTAACTCTGAAAAACTTAAGTCTGATAGCTTTGCCTTCCTTCTGTGTTTTTTTATGGTAGAGTCTTGCCTGTGTTAGATTTTGGAGACGGTTGTTTCAGAGTTCTTTTATTTTCAGCGAGAGGATCTCTCTGAAAACAGTGACGTAAGTCAAGTTTTTCTTTGCAGACAATTATCTCTGTGATCATGACTTTAGATGGGCATGTTTCTACTTTACTATCAGGTCAACAGTGTGAAAAAAGGAAACTAATTTTGTTTCAATGTATACATTTAACCATATTTTCCAAGTAAGCTATTATTATAAATGCTAGTAATAATATATTCTGCTCTGATGAATATTACATTTTACCAGACTTGGAAAAACAGACTAGAGCTATAGCAATATTCTTCAGAAATATATATATATAAAACCACAAATTATAATCTAGCTAAAAAGAGAGGACAAAGGGGGAATTGAAAATTTAGATTGCATTGGTCAAATGCTAGCAATTGTTTAATTTAAAGCATATTAGCTGGGGTTTTTACCTCTAATGAACTAATCAAATAATCACAGATAAGCATGTATAAAAGTATTTGTAAGATATTTAGCCTTCAGAGGCTAGCTAAAAAAGTGACAATAGCTGTTTACCATAATTTTCACTATTTTATATGAATCATGCTTTTAAAATACTAGATCTCCGTATAATCTTTTTTTTTTCCCATGGAGACAAAAGGTAGTGGTGTCAGATACTAATGGCAAGCATATTTCTTTAGTTTTCATATAGAGTCCAGAAAGTAACTCCTTCACCCTTGCACCCAATGCTCGTGGTGATGGGTACTACAGAGCTAGTCTGCATTGTAACTAGTCCATTCTCTACGGAGGCATTGAGCGTTGCATACTGAGGAAGAAAATTCTGCAGTCAAAATGACAGAAAAGATAAAGCTTTTGCTCAGTTTCATGAAAATCGCTTCATTCTCACAAGCATCAAGGTTTGTCCTTTACTGAGGTGTTACAAGGCACAATTCATCTCTCCATGGTTTTGCTGTCTATGAGTTTTACCCAGACAAAGTTTATGCCATTCAGCCATCTCAAAATGGGTGTCTAAGATGGGTTTATGCAACTTCAGGACATGCTTTCCTCTTACCCTTGAATATGAAAGGCACTTAAACAAACAACTTAAACTGAGTACCTGACTTTTAAACAGCTGCAGTTGAGCAAAATTAATCCCCAGAGTAGCTATACAACTTAGAAACATCCTCATCACAAACAACTTACTTTACACTGCACTCAGGTCTGGTCCTTCTTTTACTGAAACCCACACTGGACCTGCCATTGACAGCACAACTTCCACCATTTCAATACTGTAATTTGTGGTATTATCCAGAGCAGGTATATATTGATGTAGAATCATAGAATGGTTTGGAACTGGTCTTTCTCCATCTTTCTTATAAGACCCCTTTACATATTGAAAGGCCACAGCAAAGTCTCCCCAGAGCCTTCTCTTCTCCAGGCTGAACAACCTCAACACTCTCAGCCTTTCTTCACAGGAGAGGTGTTCCAGTCCTCTGACTATTTTTGTGGCACTCCTCTGGACTCGCTCTAACAGGTCCAAGTCCCTCTTGTACTGGGGACCCCAGGGCTGGACACAGTACTCCAGGTGGGGCCTCACGAGTGTGGAGTAGAGGGCGACAATCTTCTCCCCTGGTCTGCTAGCCACACTTCTTTTGATGTAGCCCAGAAAGCCAGTAGTGTCATGGGCTGCAAGTGCACATTACCAGCCTACATCCAATTTTTCATCCAGTATCTCCAAGTCATTCTCTGAAGGGCTGCTCTCAATCAATTCATCACTCAGTCTGTACTGAGTTTTACACCTATATTATATATGTATTACAGCTATATCATATAGGTATAATATTACATAATTAAGAAGATATCACAGTACCTAGTTAACTATATTTTCAAGTAAAATTGTACTCATGAAGTTTTCTTGTCACTGCAGTTTTGTTACATTGTTTATGACGTTGCAATCAGAGATTGTGCTCATTTTAGTCATTTACTGCTTCAGCACAGCTCCTCAGAGCAAAGGTACCCTTAACATACATGAATCCCCATTTTGTCTTATGGACAGCTGCATGAAAGGTGCAGCTGACGAAAGGCAAGTGGGAGAGCCTGAGCTGCTGTGGTCCTCTACAATTACAGTCAATGCTTTGAAAGCAACGAGAATCACGTTCAGGTTTTTTGCGAGTATAAATGAGAAGAAACAGGTGACTGGGGAAGGCAGAAAAAGTCTCTGGTAACTGGAGAAATTGTGAAAAGGATCACAACACAAAAGCTCCACTGCCTGGGCTTCATGGCCTCCCCATCATGCCCCACGGCACCATTATAATAGGGAAGACCATGGCAGATGAAGGCGTAGTCCAGGCAAGCATCCAGACCCATAGAAAAGAGTGGGTACATGTGACACCCAAATTACAAGTCTCGTGAGGCATTGTTGTAACATTTCCAGAATCAAATTCTCCGTTTCCAGTGAAAAGGTTTGAGTGTTTGGCTGATACATTACATTTCTTGACCATTTATTTATTTGATTTTTATTTTTTTAAGAAGTCAGAATCTCTAAAATCAGAAAAACAACACAGGGTTTTTCCTACCCAGCTCCATCACAATACCAAGGCATGTGATAAGTCTTAAGAAGTATAGGCCAGCATTATTTTATATAAACAAAAAGCCCTTGTAAGATTTTTAGGAATGATACATGAGATTTTAAAGAGAAACCAATTTGTATTTAAACTATAAAAAATGGTCCATTAGCCTTTTTCATGGAAATTGATACATATGTTCTAGTTATTTCAGATTTATTTTCAGAGTTCACTGAATTCCCTGATATTCTGTTCTGAATGCCATGAAGAGACTACAAAGCTGTGCAGAAATGTAGCATCTCTTGGACTGCGCAAGGCAGTCAGTTGTATTCGGTTGTTTTGGAACGAGGAATTTAAGAAGATCACTTTGGATGCCTTTCAGCTTACAGTGGGTGTTTGTGACCATCAGCTCTGCCCTGCTTGTAATTATGACATAAACAAACATTATATCCTCTGGAGTCCACAGCTCCATCAGGCTTTATTCCATTCCTATTTTGTCTTTATGCCATCACAATTTAACTCACTTCAGGGGTAATATCTATCTTAGCAAGATTGTATAATCAGACTTGTGGTTGTTAATTTGGATACACAAATCACATTTAAAGAGTATCTAAATACACTGTTAAACACTGGTGAAATAAGTTCTACACATTTTTGAAGGCCACACCACCAAGAGAAGTCGGTAAATAAGTCACATCTACAACACCCAGCTCACGGTTCCTCACTTTTTCCATCAGAAATGCTACCTGGAATATATTCAAGATGTATCTTCCCTCCAAAATACTGTGGATTCTTTTAAAATGTTTAATAAAAACACATTCTCTCATTCCTCAAATTATACAAGTCTGAAATTCATTAGGGCTTTCTAAATATGCATTTTATCAATTTTATCAATACACAGAAACTTGAAGCTTCCACCAAAGTTCAGCAATACCAACTGTAGCACACACTGATACCTATTTGTGTGAAGATGGATATTTCCTAGAATAACATGAACATTATCCCTGCGCTGTCAAACGTTATTATCTTCTCTTGTAGCTGTCAAATCAGAAAATACATTTGCTCCCTGCAAAGGAACAGAACACTTACACTAAATCTGGGAAATTATGTGTGTTTCAGCCAATCCACTGTACATTTGCCTTCACAAAGTACCTTATAGATTTATTAACAAGAGCAAAAAATTTCTTGCACAACAGTGCCTTATGTGAAGTCGCACTTGTATCAAAGCCCTCTGAAATGTGCCCAACACGTGGGAGTGGGAACAATGACAGATGAGGAACACCACCAGCGGCTCACTTTTTTTTCACTCACATCAACTAAAACAAGAACCAAGAGATTGTCTCTGAACACAGACACCCAGAGTCCATGTTCAACTGTTCAAGCACATGTGAAAGCAAACTCATTGCCTCTGAAAAAAAGGAAAACAAGTCTGGTTTACACCAGTGTAACTGAGAACGGAATCTGGCCCTTTGACAACTGGTGGTTTTATACAATATTAATATCACTGGCTGGCATACACAAGATTTAGGCATTTTCCATGTCTGGAACTAGATCTCTTCTTTCACTGGTATCGAGGGGCCTTTAACCTACATACTGTAACTTACCAATAATAGATGAAAAGAGCAAATACTCCCTGCCTTACACCAGAGGGTTCACCCTGCTTTCAGTAGAACCATAGCTATTTCATAAATCCATATAAAAAACTAATCCTAATTTACACAGACTAAATCTAATAAGAGTAGAATGGTTTCCAGAAGGATCTCATGGAAGTGGAATCCATCAAGGCAACTTTTGCCTTTCTCTTTTTCTGTCCCACAGTTTTGATTTGTATCTTTACATTTAAATGCTTGTGAAAGGAACGGAAGAAGTTGATACAGTAGTGTGCAAACGCTGCAATCAGGCAATTCCTTCCATATGAGTAATCAAGTTAGTTCAATTTTGGATACCTTCCTTCTTTCATTCTGGGGTAACTGACTTTGAGGGAGTTTCTTCTTGATTTATGCCAGATTACGTCATGTGAGAATTGGTGCCATTGATTGTGATGGGGCTACACACCTCAAGAAGGACCACTCACAACTGGTCAGATTCTGCAGAGTCAGCCCTGCATTTCTTGC